TCTGCCAACGTGTCTTCAGCTGTTCAATGCCCTTGCGGTAGAACTCGGGGGGGGTTGTCACAAAGAAGTCCATGAGGGCTTTGCGCAAGTCTACTTCATTGGTGAAGGATTTCCCACGAAGATGATTATCCAAGGAGTGGAAGAGGTGGTAATCGGATGGCGATAGGTCAGGTGAATAAGGTGGATGGCACAAAGTCTCACACCCAAGTTGTTGTATGGTATCTCTGACCACTCGCGCGACATGCGGCCTGGTGTTGTCATGGAGGAAATGCACACCTTTGCGATTCACCAGTGCTGGCTCCCTCTGGCGCAATGCCCGTTGCACACGTTTCAATTGCTGTGAGTATAGGTCTCCAGTGACCGTTTGGCCCGTTAGTAGCAGTTCATAATGAACCACTTGACGACCTGTCCACCAGACACAAAGCATAATCTTGCATGGGTGCATAGGCGGTCTTGCGATGTGAGGGACAGCATCCTGAGAAGACAACCAATGTCTGGAATGCTTGGGAGTTTCGTACAGAACCCACTTTTCATTCGATTGAATAAGGATGCGGTGCAGTGGCGAGAAAGCAGTGATACGCAGGCTGCCACTTGTTGTCCCTTGTGGACCTCCAACAGCGTTTGCGGAACCCACTTGCTCAGCTTGTACATCTTACCTAGGCGGTGCAGGTGAACTCTAACTGTTTCATCGGAAACGTTGAACTGTCTTGCAAGTTCACCACACGTTAGACTACTGTCCTCTTCAATGGCCTCCTTCAGGACTCCGTCATTCAAGACCTGTGGTCGTCCACTGCGAGACTCATCATGGAGAGACAAATCTCCCGACTTGAATTTTCGAAACCAACGCCTTGCATTACGTTCATCCACAGCACTATCCCCAAACGCTTGACATATGCGGCGACTTGATGCAGCTGCTGATAAACCCACTTTGAAGCCGTAAAGCAAACAGCCCCGAACGAGATCTCTAGACACGTCCATCCTTCTCACAGCTGTCCGGCTTATAACTGATGGCCAGGCACGGTGCGCGTGTTTTTTTTTTTATAACATCTGATGTTCCTACTTCTGGGCGTCCGAATTTGAAAACAATTGCTACAAGCATTTCGTATATATTTCAACTTCATTCAATGACTAATCAGAAAACGGACAGAACTTTTTTGGTTACCTTGTATTTTCCGGCATTTGTGTTGGTAATCCGAGGAAAGAAATATATGCTTAATAATTAAGACGTATCCAGTTTATGCATTGGCGAGTAAAATAGTGCCCCTTTTTACTGTTGGTGAAAAAAAAAATAACAGCTTTGATCCTACGAGGGTGGGATGAAAAGTTCATAAGATGTTTATAGAGGAATAATGCAAGCGCTGTGGAATCTTGCATGAATTCATTCTAACTTTTCTTATTAAGAACTGCATTGCTTATTTCCAGCTTAACTTACATCTGACTCTTCAAAGAAGAATATTCATCCTGTTGGTCAAAAAAGTCACTAACAGAAGATATTATGTCATCATCGCTCCGATAGTAGTTCCCAGGCAAGTGTTTTTCATGTTGGGGAACAGATGATAGTCAAATCAGAAGAATAGGAAGAGTGATCAACTAGAGCCATAATCACGCATGGAAGCCATTGAAACCAAGGAATTGTGTGTTGGAGTATTGTCCTCTTGGCATGACGAAATTTTGCTTAGAAATTAAGTTATTTATAATAGGAATACCAGTATATACGACGGTTGGCTGAAAAATTCATAGGCTAACTATGAAGGAGTGATCTACAGCTGTGAAATCATGCATGCTTTAATTTAAATTCTTATTAATAAGTGCCTTGTTTCTTTCGAGGTAAACTGACATTTGACGGTTCAGAGAAGTCTGTTCATCTTGTTGGTCAAAATGTCATCATCGCTTCGATAGTGGTTTCCCGCCAACAGTTTTTCATGTTGGGGAACAGATGATAGTCAAATCAGGAGAATAGGGAGTGTGATCAAACAGAGCCATAATCACGCATAGAAGTCATTCAAACCTAGGAATTGTTTTTGGAGTATTGTCCTCGTGGAACAAAACCTCTTTTTTTCAGTTTTCCGAGGCATTTGGTCTTGATAAACTTTCATAACTGCTTCAGCAAGTTTTAATATTACTCTCCATTGATGGTGTGGTCCTTTTGAAGATAGTCGATTGCGTCCCAGAAAACTGAAGCCATCACCTTCCCTGCAGATGAAACGACCTTGCTCTTTTTTTGGTCTTCATCAGCCACTGAAACCAAGGACTAGAGTGTGTGGAGAAAATCTCAGCCCAAGAAAAAAAAAACTTTGACAGTGCAGACTGGGGAAATGATCAAAGTTAAGTTGCGAAAAAAATATCTACTTCCACGACATAGCTTATCCGTCAGATAACTTGCGTACTATAACAAAGAGTAAAAAAAAAAGAAAAAACATTTCCTTTATAACCACTTCAGTGATCACAAGTGATAACAAGTATAACTATAAAAAAAATGGTAAAAAAGGTAACAGCTTTTAGTCGACCAGAACAACAACTCAACCCTACTCCTCCCACCTGAACCGTCAATTTTTCTACAGGTGCCGGAGCATTGTCCCGGTGAAGTAAGAACCCTTTCGCCAGTTTTACTTTCGTAACTACCTAAGCAAGTGTTATGGAGTGGTTTCACAGTGGAGGCTTGTATTTGTACTCAGTCGGTCCTAAAATAGGTTTGACGTACAAAACGTTAGGAACTTGATATAATAAGTATGACGCAGAGTAAATCTAGTTGTGGTCGCTGATACTTTAGTATCCGACTAATGGTCGTCCGGCATCGACTGACTGCCCGACCCACTGAGCGACTCCGCGACTCCCTTGTTACTCTTACTAATCCTACTTATTATAGGTGGGAGAGTCTATTAACTATAGAATAGGTGTGTTCCACTATAACAGCAAGTCGGCATAGTAGTCCCCATTGATAGTGCGGCCTTTTGCATTCCACCCAAACGTAGATAATCACCTTCCATGCAGATGAAACAAGCTTGACCTTCTTTGTAGCAGGTGAGAAGGTGATTGTCTATGTCTCAAATTGATGAACCTGTTGTGGCCTTGTTAGGGCCAGAAATAAAGACATAAAGAGAGGAATTTAGTTAAACAAATATATTAACAGAAACAGTAATACAAACATATACAAACGAGAGTGTTATAGCAAGAATGTTCGGTCCGACTCTCAGAGCTGACTGCTGGAAACTTCCCTCTACAAAAGGCAGTACCTGCTCCGATTTATAGCTGGGAGAGTCTATGCGTGCGTGGGTAAATTGCCATAACAGTAATCGACTCTCCCGTCGAGATTCGACGTATGAGGGTCAAGCAGATCAGTTGCTAGGGAAACCGACAGCCCGACACCGGCACATGAGATTTGATTATAGTGGTGAAGTCCTCGTGCAGGACCATCCACACTTTTTGGCCATAACAATATATATATATATATATATATATATATATATATATATATATATATATATATATATATATATGTGTGTGTGTGTGTGTTGTGGCCTTGTTAGGGCCAGAAATAAAGACGCAAGAGAGGAATTGAGTTAAACAAATATACTAACTGTTGTGGATTCCGTGAATGGAATCCTGCACAAATAAATAAACAACGCCAGTAATTGAGATAGAAAAGTAAGTGTATAAAACGTAGGAATACAGAATTGAAATGAAGATTAGTAGTCCAGGAATGCAGGTTAGTAGAAAGTATATGTACAAGTCTCTGTAAGTAAAGCCATAATCATCTCTCTCTCTCTCTCTCTCTCTCTCTCTCTGGACTCTTGTGTAACTCTCTGTGAACACACTGTGTCTGTCTCCGTATCTCTCAACCTGTCTCAGCGTATCTCAACGTATCTCCACGTATCTCCACGCATCTCAGCGTGTCTCCACGTATCTCAATGTATCTCAAAACAGCAGGTATTTTCTCTGTCAGAATAAGTATACTTTGGACGAGTCCATCTTATGTAAAAAAGGGAGAGCCCCACAACACTAACAGAAACAGTAATACAAACATACAAACCAGATTGTTACAGCAAAAATGTTCGGTCCGACTGTCAGAGCTGACTGCTGGAAACTTCCCATCCCAAAAGGCAGTACCTGCTCCTATTTATAGCTGGGAGAGTCCATGCGCGCGTGTGTAAATTACCATAACAGAACCCAACAAGCATCTTGGGTTATGGAACGTTCAAGGGCACTAGCTGGATCTGCCGTAAACAATGTTAGATTTTCCCGTGATATGATCAACCTGTGTGAGTTTGATGTGGAAGCCCAGCGAGCAAAAACCTTCGTCATTCCAAGTTCAATTTGCATAATATTCTCACTTATCTCACGGGATATGCTAATTGACCATTTCATTTATTGTCAATCACTTGTCATCCATCGCCATGTGGTGAACAGGATCAATGTTTTCTTCGGTGGTGGCAGTCTCAGACCTTTGTCAAATTCAAGATTCTCTCTAACGCTCCTAAATTCAGGTGACCACCTTTGCACTGTTGATAAAGCTGAGGCGTCATCCCATAATGTATCAGACATGTCAGCATGACAGAAAAGGAAGAGAAAAGGAATCTTTTATGGTGATAAAGGATGGAAGAGAGAGAAAGAGAGAGAAAAGGAAGAGTGAAAGAAATAGAGAGATGTCTTTGGGGGGTTAGACACTTTTTCTAAGGGTACTTGATAACACCATAATGCCAAATTTTGACCATTTTAGTTTTGAAATTCTTTGAAGAATCAGTTTACTTTGAAAGAAATAATGCACTTGAAAATAATACATGCAAGTTTTCGCAGCCCCTTCATAGTCAGCCTATGAGGTTTTCAGACCAACTCCGTGAGGGACTTCAGAGATCAACATGCACTATAAAGTGTGTATTGTCAGTTCAAGTTGCTTCTGTAAACTAATTTTCACCCACCATTGTCCAGCAGTCATAAAACGCATACAAGCAAAATATCGTCTACTTTATAATTATAGCTGTTTTTATAAATTGAATAATACCTTATGGTGGCAATAATGTCTTTGCCACTGAAAAGTTGCTCCGGAGAGAATTGACAGGAAGAGAGGAAAGATTTTGGTAGAAAGATAAAAGATAGCAAGAGAGAAAGAAAGGGAGCGAAAGGCCGAGGAAAAGAACCAATGGAAAGAGAGAGTTAAAAAGAACAGTAGTAAAAGATGGTAAAGAGAGAGAGAGAGAGAGAGAAAGAGAGAAATATTGATAGATAAAGAGAGTGTGTGTGAGAGAGAGAGAGAGAGAGAAAGGTGTGTAAGCGAAGTGAGTGATAGATATATAGAAAAGAAGTTTGTTAGAAAGATGAAGAATGAAAGAGAGAGAAGGAAAGAGAAAAGGTAAGAAAGAGAACTGAGAGGAAGAAAGAGAGATTGAAAAGGAGTTTCTTAGAAACAATGAGGGAAGAGAGAAATAGAGAGAGAGAGGGGAAAAGAACAAAAGAAAGTGTGTGTGTGTATATGAGAGAGATAGAAAGAGAGAGAGAGAGAGAATGAGTTTGGTCAAAAGTCGAACAAGAGAAAGAGAGAAAAAGTGCGGGAAATAATTGAGGGTAGAGAGAAAGATAGAAACAGAGTTTGGTTGAGAGAAAGAAAGATAGAGAAAAAGCGTGAATGAAAAAGAGAGATATAAAAGTAGTTTGATAAAAAGATAAACGATGGAGAGAGAAAGAGAGAGAGAGACTAAGAGAATTGGGACAAAGAGAGAGAGAGAGAGAGACTAGAAGGAAACGAATTGTGAAAGAGAGAAAGAGATACGGAAAAGAGAGAAGAGGTAGGAAGAGAATTATGAAAGTATAGGATAGAAAGAATAAGAGAAAGAGAGGGGAATGGGCACTGATAGAGAGAGACAGTGAGAGAAAGATACAGAGAGAGAGAGAGAGAGAGAGAGAAAGAGAATAGGAGGAAAACTATTAAAGGAAGGAGAGACAAAGAGAGAATTTGAGAAAGAGAATTAAGGAACAGAAAAGAAAGGTGTGTGTGTGTGTGTGTGTGCGTGTCTGTGTGTGTGAATAAGTAAGAGAGAGAGAGAGAGAGGGCGTGAAAATGTGAGGAAGAAAACTGATGAAAATAGAGATAGAGAAAAAAGGAATCTCTTATGATGATAAAGGATGGAAGAGAGAGAAGGAGAAAGAAAAGGTGAAGACGAGAACTGAGCGAAAGAGATAGAGAGATGGAGATAGAAAAGGAGACTGTTAGAAACGATGGGTTAAGAGAGAGAGTGTGTGTATGTGTCTCTCTGTGTGTGTGTGTGTGAGAGAGAGAGAGAGAGAGAGAGAGAGAGAGAGAGAAAGAGAGAGCAAGGATAAAACGTTCGAAAATTAGAGGAATAGAATAGATGGAAAGAATAAAATGATGGAAGTTCGAGAAAGTAACCGGTAAGAAGAGAAGTGAAGGGTGTGAAAGAGAAAGAGAGAGAGAGAGAGGGGGGGATAGAAGAGAGAGAGAGAAAGAGGGAGAGAGAGAGAGTGAGAGAGAGTGAGAAAGAGAGAGCTCCATCTAGAAAATGGAAGATTTTGAAAACACGCTTCCTGGACAGTTGTTGTTTATGGAAACATATAAACAGAGCACCAAATGCACCTTAGATATGCTTGTCAAATAGTAATAAAAACTGAATGTAATGGCCTGAGAATTCCAGTAAACAATATCATCTTCTGGCCACGACTTGTTGGTTCAATTGCGCTGGCAATGCAGTGAATGAAAGTTGAATGGGCTTCGGTGTAAGGTGACGAGGTTCAAAGCCATTGAGACGAGGCGAAGAAGATAATGATCATGTTTCTGGACTGGAAAAAAAAACATTTTGTTTTAATAATAAATAAAATGGCAAGAAGAAAGAAAAGAATAAAAATGAAGTGAAGAAGAAGAAGAAGAAGAAGAAGAAGAAGAAGAAGAAGAAGAAGAAGAAGAAGAAGATGCAATAGAACAAAGTAAGGCGCGGGAAGGAAAATAAATAAATAAGAATGAGAGAAAAAAGAAAACGTAAAGTAATTAAATAATTAAATAAGTGAAGAAAGAAAGAAAAAGAAAGAAATCGTATAGGAACAGTGACAGAAAACAATAAGAATTGAAAAAAGTAAGAAAGAAAAAAGAAAGAAAAAGTATGAGAAGTGACAGAAAGCAATAAGAATGAAAGAAAGCGTATAAATGCCATAAAACAATACGAATTGGAGAAAGAAAGAAAGAAAGAGCATAGGAGAAGTGACAGAAAAATAAGAAACAAAGGGTATACAAGCGACCGAAAACAATAAGAAAGAAAGAAAGAGAGAAAGAAAGAAAGAAAGTATATAGGACAAGTGACAGAAAACAATAAGTACTGGAGAAAGAAAGAAAGAAAGAAAGAAAAGAAAAATAAGAAAGAAAGTATATATAAGTGACAGAAAAAACAAAGAAAGTGTATAGGACAAGTGAGAGTAGGCAATAAGAATTGGGCAAAGAAATAAAGAAAGAAAGAGTGTGGGAAAAGTGAAAGAAAACAATTAGAATTTAAAAAAAAAAAAGAATAAAAGAAAGAAAAAAGAGTATTGGACAGGTGACAGAAAATATAAGACAGAAATAAAGAAGCCGTAGACTTAAATAGCAGAAATGAATAAATGAATTAGAGAATCAAAGGAAGGAAGGGAGGAAGGAAGGGAGGAAGGAAGAGAAATGAGAGAATAATAGCAAAGAAAGAAAGAAAGAAAGAAAGAAAGAAATGGTATAAATAGAGGAAAGAGGAAAAAGCGACACACCAAGAAAGACATTGTAAAGAGAGAATGAGGGTGAGGGTAAGATGAAGGGAAATAAATAATGGTGATTAAAAAAGAAAAGAAAAAGAAAAGCCGAAGGAAAAGAGAACGTGTACAAGCAACGACGTTTTGAAGTAAAGAAATGCTACGGGTTATAAGAGCAAAGAGCAACATAAGAAATGAAAGAAAATGAAAAATATTTTAAAAGAGAAAACACTAAAAAATTAACGATAACAGAATGAAAAACTGGAGCTAGAAGATAGAAAAATAAGAAAGATAATGAGTATATTTAATTAAAGAAGAAAATGAACAAAACTACAAAGAAAGAAATAAGAGAGAGAAAGAGAGAGGGGAAAGAGCGAGAACGGTAAAAAGAAAGAAAGAAAGAAAGAAAGAAAGAAAGAGAAGGAAAAGAAGAGAAAGAAAGAGAAAAGACAGAAAAAGAGGGTAAGAGAAAAAAGAGAAAGATAGAGGGAGAAAAAGAGAGAAAGATAGAAAGAAAGAGAAAGAAAGTGAGAGAGGCATGAGAGAAAGAGAAAGCTAGAAATGAGAAAATAGAGTGACAGAGAAAGAGAGAGAGAGGAAGAGGGATAGAGTGAATGAGAGAGAGAGAGAGAGAGAGAGAGAGTGCTGTGGAGTTATTTCGCAGTGGAGGCTTGTATTTGTACTAATTCGGTTCTAAAATAGTTCGACGTACAAAACCTTAGGAACTTGATATAATAGGTATTTCGCGGGGTAATCTTGTTGTGGTCGCTGACTACTTTCGTATTCGACTAACTGTCGACTACTGTCGTCCGACATCGACGCTATTTAGTAACTGCCCCACGCAGTCACATGTGGCCCAAGGCCGAATTTAATAGCCTCGTCTGGGTTCCTCTCTGCCCGAAGGCAGAGAGTTTGACTGTCGTCCGACATCGACTATCATCCGACATCGGCTGACCCTCATTACTCTTACTACTCCTACATATATTAGGTGAGAGAGTCTATTAACTATAGAATAGGTGTGTTTCACCATAACAGAGAGAGAGAGAGAGAGAGAGAGAGAGAGAGAGAGAGAGAGAGAGAGATAGATAGATAGATAGAGAGAGATAGAGAGAGAGAGAGAGAGACTGGTCGAAAGAAGGAGTAATGAAAACCAAAGGAGTATAATTTCTGTCTGAATTTCTGGCATGAGGTTTATTATTCACATTCGGACTATAATCCTCTTCTTTGTAAGTAGCACAAATTTTCGGTCGTTTTACTCTCACCAGCACGCCTAGGGCGCTTGTCGTTCCGGGTAACCTTCAAGGAATTTCAAACTGAACCCTTTATTCAATCCACAGGAGTACTTTATTCTCGTTCCGCTGTCCGTGTCTAGGGATATGTCGTTGTCTTATCTAGTACTACTTGTTTCCATTGACTTTAAACTAAAGATTTAAAGATTCAAATCCGGCAAACTAAGATTAGAACTCGAAGCCTTAAAATGTAATCTTCCTGCTGCTGATACTGGTGCTGTTGCTGCCATGCTTGACTGTATTCACCGTAGTATACCCGGCCAAATGAGTGAACACACAAAATTTACGAACGAACGCTTTATTTCACTAGGCTACTGTCCCGTGGGACAGTTCCGAGTCTATAACTTGGAGTCCCCAGCATAATCACCCTGCCACTGACACTGCGCTACAGTCACAATTGAGTATATTCACCGTGAGAATAGATAAAGAAGAAAGAAGAAACAATGGAGGAAAACGATCCAAATAATTAGAAACACTTATAATTATCATTAATTCACTCATTCTAAACCGATGAGAATCGACTCCACTTTTCTCCTATACACACACAAACGCGATATTTTCACTATCGGACAAGCAGATCACACGAACAGGTCGTCAACACGTACGTCAACGAAAATTTCGCCTCCTTTTCCTTTTTGCAGGCCGTAATAGTAACATTTATCTTTTAGCACTAAACAAAAATTCGAGGTAAGAAAATCCCAGACACTTTTTGTATTTTCAAACTAAATTACCTGGACATCATTGCGCGCGCGCGCGCACACACACACACACACACACACATATATATATAAAACATACGAGAAAGATTCTATTTACATTTGACCCCCAAATCACAATTTTGCGCAGTATTAACTGTTTCTCGTGTCTCCAACACCACATAACATCCAGATTATAAATAATATTCGTTTTGTTGACTCCACGACTTGCTGTTTCTCATTTTAAGAGTATTTTTAGGGGGTTTATAATTATTTACTCAAAGTTATATACACGCTGCATTGCATCAATCTCTCATGTAAAGTAGCTCTTTCTCATACTTTGAAAATCTACGTTTGAAATACTATTTTTTTTATTATCTACGTTCGAACACCAGTGTCTGGCACTAAGAAGAAATATTCACCTAGCGTAGCCAAACATCGGTGGAAAGTTTTGATACTATAAGAGAAGATAAATAGTTTTATTTCTTGAACTGACTCGGAGAAATTTTAATTATTTTTTTTTCTTTCGTTACTTGTTATCGCAACGCTCAGGTGATCGTTGTTTTTTTTTTCGTTCTATGATATTTAATCAAGTGACTTAGTTTTAAAATAAGAAATTAGTCTCTGACGAGATAGCAATTCGTCTTCTTTATCACCCAGAACCCAAAATGGACAAGAATTTTTGTCTAGAGGGGAAAAAGTCACATTATGTTGGGAGATTTTTAAAAAAAATCAACATATGCTATTAACATAACGGTTTGCATTGCGATTTTTAAAAAAATGAATGATTTAAAAAATTTTTTTTTAAAAAATGAAAGAAACAAAAGCAAGGAAAAAAAACAAAACAAAAACAACAAACTAATAATAGCAATGCTTCAATTAAAAAATTTTTCAAGAAAATAGGTTTCTCAAATCCAGTAACTGTTATTGCTCTTTCCAGTATTCGTGGGAATTTACTTCCTAACCTTCTGTTTGAAGTCATGTGGAAAGCCAACATCTTGTTTATGTCATTTTTTTTTTTCGAGTTACATATGATATCCATTTTAGTTGTTGCTGCTGTTGGGATTCCTCATATTGCTTCTGTTATTTGGCACAATTCTGCATCACCAGTCGACAAAGTATGATCCTCGCTGAGACCTACAAGCTTCATTCACTCGAAGCCATTTTTAAATATCGATCTGAGAACGCGGTTGAATTTAGAAGTTTAGATATGTCTGAATGAAGTTTAGATATGTCTGAATGAGTTTGTTACCATTTATGGATTCCATATGAATACCTCTATTAGTATAATTTATCAGCTAGCCATAGTTTACCGGCTATTTAGTGTTAGGAAGAATAATGCTTTTTAGCCTTCCAGTAGTATACCGAATACTAATATTAGCATTAGCGTAGCCATTAATACATTAACACTCAATGCGAATACAGAGAGACGAGATACGCGCCCGTAATAAACAAATCATTTAACAATGCAAACAGCTTACATAAACATATTAAAAGGATTTACATATTTCCCAAAGCAAATGATTGTTCATACTGTTCAAGGGACAAGAACGTTTACAGAACGAGAACAAAGAAATAACATCTTTATAGCTTTTGACCATTCGTAGCTTGGTGAATCAAAATAAATAACTTTTTTTTCCACGTTAGGCTGTGCACATGTTGTTCAGTTTCCACGCGTGTGGACACCCTGGTGGTCAGGAACGTAATAACCGTTCCTCAAAAAAAAAAAAAAAAAACGAAAGTAAAAAGAGACAGAAGAGTTCTCCTGCCTAAAGGGACTTAACTCCCATGAGCTCAACCGAAGG